CTCATCAGTGAAATAGTTAACGTTTTCGTAATCAAACCAAACTTAAACATATAACATTTCCTCGTCTGAGCAAGTACCCAGTAATAAGCACATGAACTGAAGTTTGTAAACATTATTTCTAACCACTAAAACATAAAAAATAAAACGTATTCAATAATTGAGCTAATTTTAAAAAGTAATTGCTACTTGATATTAGGCTACAGTAAATTTATAAGTAATTCAGAATGGTCTCACAATAATTGTAATGAAGTTTTATTAAATCTTTATAGTTTCAGATTCTATTCTAGTATTCTATAGTTTAGTATTCTATTATGTGGAAAGCTTTTAACTGTTTCAAAAGTGATATTGCTAACTTGCACGTTTACTTAATTCTTTCACCGTATAAGGCACATCGGATCTACAATATTTATATAACTAACAATTTAATAGTAAAAAAAACTGGCCTACTAATTCCAAGCTGCAATCTCAAAGATTCCTGCAATTCATTGTAACTAATTTTATGCCTAAAATGCTAACACGCAAAACAACAAAACACACGTCAAGTTTGTTCAGTACGTTGTGAAATTGCACAAGTTAAGCAATCTCATTTAAGTGGACAACTTCAACAGCGAAGTTTATTAACTTCCTTTGCATAAATAGTAACTAAATAGTTTGGTACCTGTTATTATGAGTAATTATTTGTACAATTTCTAGTGCTATTAAAATATAGTGTTATTTTTAGTTTTATTCGAAATACGGTAGACAAGTAATATATTTTATGATCAAATTAATCTTTAATTTTCTACTTTTTTCTTGTAAATTTCTCATAGCGATTGATTTTTTTAGTTTTTATTTAGTTTTGCCACCCTTTGTATCTACTTATTTATAATTTCTAATTTGTTTTATTACCACGTTTTGTACACCTTAAGCAGTCTTATATGTCCCTGCACCATTTTCACCTGGAATAGGTAAGCGAAAGTAACTTTTTTAAAGAGAGACATGGGACTTGCGATACACATAATCATACTGAGACAGCTGTTGTTCCAAACGAAAAGATTTAAAATCGTTAACAATTATAAGGCTCAAATCCATACCAAATGTGGATGGTGCCAAATATGGTTCCGTTTGAAGTGCTGATACAATCAAAATCCCACATATTTCAAACTATTAAATAAATTACATAAACGTGGATGCAGAAATCTATGTTCTGAGAACTTGACTTCGACATGACTGCATTTTATGTTACTGCGTCTTTGCAAACAAAGTACCACATTACAGCAATGCTGGATGTTTATTTATGTTCTCCTTCCCCCAACTATTGGTTTTTTGGATTTTCCGCCTGTCATGTGTAACGCCTGTAGTATATAAAAGCCTTACGATTAATTTTACTTACTTAATTTTCAGATTTTTAACTCTGACTTGTAATAGCATGTAAATGTAAAAGGTCAATTTATTTAATTTTTTTCTGTATTTGTTTCTATGAAAGGTTTTTATAAGGGATATCAGAGATTATATAAAAATATCATCGATACTTTGACTATCTGCCTTAAAATAGTTACACGGAGCTACGTATGGACAGAAATTGAATTGGTTATTATTCTATAGGAATTATGTATAGTTACTTTAAGTTGAAAACAAATGTATCGTATATTATTATGATTGGAACCTTCAACAAAAGTGCTGGATTTCGTTGACTTGCTTGTATTTTATTTATTTATTTATTTATTTCCAACGGACATCTTCATTTTACAGCCATACAAATCAATCCAGTACAACTCAGGATGGCTTATACCGTAATTTAACAAAGACAACAGAAAACAGTATGAAAGGATTAAATAGTTCATTGTAAATAAAGAAACTTAGCTTACTAACATCCTAATGCAAAAAGGAACAAAAACAGAGTGAGTTTACATAATACTGAAAGTGGAAGACTAGAATACATAGTTGATAATTGATAATAGCAAATTTTGTGCTTATAGACTAGAAAAAATTCAACAATATAATAATAATTTAACAACATATGATCGTCAAACATCTGAAGTTATTATTTGAAAATGATCCAGCTATATTGTATTAGTAAAACATATATGTACGTTGTACCAAATAATGCATAATATGTAAATAATATCCCTACATTATTACACCCTATAATTTCACCCTAAATATTGTTATATGTATACATAAATCATAAATAATTTAATTAATACGTAACTTCGTAACTAAAATTAGGTGTGAGCGAACCAATCAATATAAAGTCAGTCACTTGAATTCAACGTACCTAACTATAAAGTATGACTGGCATATTACGAGAAATTATAAAAGCAATAGCACTATTTATCCTAGTGGAAAATTGGTTTATAAAATAGTGTATAGTTCCATTTGGAAGCAGAGCAGGACTGATGTAACAGCTGATGTTTCCAATATCAGCTCAACCAATATACCTCATACACATTGAAGGCGGTAGAAGGAGCAATCAAAAATTTATCCAATCTCATATTTATGTTCCATATGTTGTGGCGGATTGTATTATTCTTTAAATCTGGGCTCATATGACACCAGCTTGAATTTTAAAGCGTCAGATTGTTTTAGAAATGTGAATTGAATCTTGGTATACCTTTTTCGTTTTATATGCATGTCATTATCACAATGCTATTATGTAACAATTATAATTTGTTACTGCACTATATGATTAGTACAATTCTTACACCTATTTATGTAATATTATACGAGCTCTAGTCGTAACAAAATTTAAAACTTCAATATACAGAGTGTGCCGTAAGTAAACAGCCAAACTCCGAGAAATAGTTAAATCGGTCAAAATAAAGAGAAAATCAAGAATAACATATTTTCCAAAAACGCAAAACATTAAATATTTTTATCTTTTAAGTTTTTTAACCGATTATTATGCAGCTTGGTACGTATGTAAAGGTTAAAGAGCGACATGTTAGAAAAAAATTCATCTTGATTCATCTTACATTTTCAAAATTGCGTAGATTTTAATTTTTTAACTTAAATTATTACAAAATGGCAGATTTAATAAAACAAATTAAGAACATTTTTATTTGGCATTTTTAATTCCCTATCAAACGATACCAAGTTCAAAAATATCGAATAAGAAATAGGCAAAATATTACGATTTTTAGTTGTAAATTTGGGTAGAATAAGGCTAAGCTAGTCAGGTTTGCGCCATTTTAGATCTAAAAATCGTAATATTTTACGTATTTCTTATTTGTTATTCGTTTGATAGGGAATTAAAAATTCAAAAAAAAAGTGTACTAGACCTTTTTTCATAAAATCTGCCATAATTTAGTAATTTAAGTTAAAAAAGTTAAATGTCAGCCATTTTTGTTATCTTTAGATGAATCAAGATGATTTTTTTCTACATAGCACTCTACTATCTTAACATACGTACCTAGTTTCACAATGATCGGTGAAAAACGTAAAAGATAAAAACTTTTATGTGAAAGAAAAATGGCAGATGTCTGGTTAACGAAGCGATTTTGGAAACATATTATTCGTGATTTTCTTTATTTCAACCCATAGAACCATTTGCAGGAGTTTGGCTGTTTACTAATGGAACACCCTGTATATTAGCGTTGACTGTAGAGAAACAGTCAACGATATTAGTTAAAACTGAGACCAGTTTGCTTTAACTACACTAACATGCCATGAGGGATTGAGGCTAAACAAAATTACAACGTTTCATTTCATTGTTAAATTATCTAATTTTATAAAGCAAAAACCATGATATGTACTTGGTTGAAAATATATTTATTTACAAATAATAGTTATTAATATAAATGAAGTTGGGATCTGTTTGATGATAATGTGTACAGTTAGAACATAAGTAATCGTACATTATGGTAATAAAGTTAACTTAAATCGATAAAAAATATCCCTTTGTACAGTTTGTGTTCTCAGTTTATAATACTGAGGAGAAATTGACCTGTGTTTTTCTTGAATGAGGAAAGTGACAATGACTTGCTGACAACGATTTTGCTATCTGAACTTTAAGTTTATAATAACATTTAAAACACTAATGACACATTAATGAAGATAAACACTGAAAGGTAAAAGATTAGAGATAATACAATTATATACGTTACCATGTTATCATTATAATTGTATAAGCTACTTCTTTGTTATTTGACGCAAACCATGCGTCAGGGCTGGTAGATCTGGAATGCAAACTGCAACATTAAATACAATTTCATAGATAATTCCTTAAAACTAATCATTTTTAAACCTACTGGATATCACAGTTCTTTTTGCAAGTTAATGTTTTGCCCTAAGCTAATGGTTTTCATTATTAGGCAGTTATTTCGGAGTTTATATCATAAACTAAAAATAATTTTCTAATCCAAGAGAAAGATAATTGATATCTCATCAAACAAAGATTACTTGAAGCTGGTTTTGAAAACTCAAATGCAAAAGTATAGAAATGGAAATCTAATTGGAATCACATTGTCACAATTCGTTTACGTTTTGGCCTTTCCCTTCATCAAACCGTTCTTATTTTACTATTATTCTTCGTTCATCCATTGAGCGTCTAATGATCGGACGGCGATTAACTTAAATCCCGCTTTCAAAATACCTACTAAATCACTTTTCCTAAGTAAATAAGTGATCACTTTTTTTGTATTTCAAGTTGATTATAAAAGGAAAGACAGATTTTCTTATTGAGTTAAATATTATTTATTACCTCTTTCGACATAAAGACTTGGCAAGACTTGAGTAAAAATTAATTATATTCTCATATTCACTATTTACTGAAGGATCAGGGCTTTTTATAAGATTCCATGTTGTGCTTTTCTCAAATCAAAATGCTGTACTATTTTACTTCTAGTTCATTTTTCTGTCGTGTGCATTTTCTCATCAGATTGTACATTTTCGGTGTGAGTTCAAACAATATTAAGAAATAACCTTAAAATATATTTCTCAGGTAATGTTTCAACAAAGAAAAACTACTGCGAACGCTCGATTGAACAGGAGATGAGTTAATGTATTTTCTTTTGTTTCAGATTGACCCCAAACTAGCCTTTCCTAGAAGAGCACATCCAAAAGTAAGTAGCTCTCTAGTTGTATTACCTTGTTATATTGCCACTTTATACATTCCATGTTATTTTACCTAGTCGCTTTATTTACCGCATCCAACTAACTCTATTACTAAAATGTTATCCTACCTTTATCCTCCCTCCCTTTCCTTGAATGTCTCAAATCGGTTACCCCAGCCCCTTTAACACGTCTGCAAGCGAAGAACGATTGGATATTTCTGCATCTTCGGAAGGTCGAAACGGAAGCTATAAGGATGAATAAGTGAGGAGCTGCGCCGATTGTATTACGCTCAAAGGAAAAAGAAAGCAATTGAAAGTGTAAATTCTCTAAAGCGGGCGCTCGATTCATGCTTTTGCATAAGTAAATAGTTACTTGGCGCCTCGCTTACTAGATTGGAGTACGCTGTTGTATTTGCTCAATTCTATTTAATAATACACATCACCTTACTTTACTTAGTGTTACTGGTAAGGAATTGTATCCCAAGGATAATTTAAACCCGTCAAATAATTATCTGTTTGAGATCTATCTATAGGTATCTTGAATTATTAACGATATGTTTCATCAATTGGCAATTAACGTATTTTCTATCAATCGTATGAAATATGTATTCCTGGGTAATGCATTTCCAAACACGTGATTCAGAATATTTTTTATTTGATATTCAGATTATTTCTCAGTTGTTTGGACATTGTAAGTTATGAACGTCAGTGTAAAATCGCTATATCTAATTCATTTGGATGATTATGAAATAATTCAATTCATTGTGATTTTAGACTCGGTAAAAACTTGGTAAAGAAAATTGTCTATTGTGTAGCCTGTCACATTTACCTCTACTCTTTAAGAACACTGCACTTTACTTTGACACTGCATATAATGTTTTTTTTATATAGTCATAACAGTTTTATATAATAATAATCTATGTATACATAATGAAACATCAAATCGTCGCTGAAACAGTTGTGATAAAAGAAGTACTTAACTCGACTCAGAATGCCTCTTATCCTAAGACTATGCCATTGAATAATAACATTGAATTACTCGTTAATTTTATTCGTGATCCAACGCCAATATGGTATTTTGTAAATCAGGATATGGTACAATCGTTGTAACTTTATAAGTTATTATCATAAAATACAAGACAATATAAAAGGCCTAATGGATTACTGTATTCGAACTCGTTGTGTGGAGGGATTTATCTTCATATTTATTTTATTTAATTTTGTTTTATTCTCGACTCAATTTACCCCAGTTAACTGTACCTATTGGTGTATGGTATGAAAATTAATAACCAACCTTTTAAGTAGTGTGAATGTAATTATGAGGCTAACTGAGAAAGCCATTCATTACATTTTGTTATATGATGTTTCATAGTCATGTATCTCAGATCTCTATAGCTGGATACCAGTATTTACAACATTGATCCAACGTCCAGAAGGTTGATCCACCCAAGTACTTCGATCTACTTGGATTAGAAGTAGTACTTAATTATTGGCATTTCTAGGGGGGATTGTTTGAGTGTTTCAAATAGAGGCGGAACTCTAAACAGAGTTGCCACGACCGCAACAATTGTGTGACAATGTAAATTTTGTAACTCATTGAAGACATAACAGTGTAAAACGTAGCTATACCTAATCCTAATATAACAGTATACTGATACAACAATAAATAGTGTCACAATCTGTGTAAATTGCATGATGGACTGGGCAAACTAAATCACAACTATAGTTACGTCCCAAGCTTATTGTGAAAGTATACTTATGTAATCTGAAACATTGTATATCGGTCAATGATCATGGTCATTCATAGAGTGTTAAACATTGTAATAGTTCAGGTCTATTTGAGCTACGTTCCTAGACACGGGTCTGGACCACCTCGATGGTCTGGACATATGTCACAGCAAAATGCCGCTGTATTTATAGTGTTACAAATAGTGTAAAATGTGTATACGATTGCGAGCAACGCTGTGTTACGCGGTTTACAAATTGCATATTTAATGTGTTTTTAACATTTATATAGTTTTTTTTTTTTACCGGGACTTATACCCGAGAGGTTTAGAGCTTGCCCTCAAATATAAGGTCTAATGTTTGATGTTTCGTTCCCGAGTAAGGTATTACTGGATCGAGATGCCAAGTAGCAAAATTACCTTAATGATACTTCAAAACTTAATGCCGTTGGTGCACCGTAACAAATCCCAGACTTGAAACCTTTCCTAAACCGGTACCTTAAAAAAACGGTAAAACTGCAAATAGATAAGAAAAGCATAAGTGAATTTCAAGTAAAAATCTAAAAGTGCTTGTAGGTTTATATGTTCTCAATATTGTTAAAGTCGGTGAGAGCTTTAAGCGTAATTTTGGAGGTGTTATTAGTATAGCAATTGTATTTCGAAATTTTGTAGTTTCTTTATTTATAATAACTTTGTACTATCTGATAGTAACACGTCTTACGTGCATTTTAATGCTATATCTTGATTCCGTTTCGGCTTTCTGCGTTTAAATTTGTATAGATAATTCCAATTTATGTATAAAGTAATGAACGGATATTTTCTGTATCGTATCTTTTCGACATAAATTTGTTCATCTCAAACCAAACAAATCATCCCCCTATCCTATAACCAAACAAATTATCCCCCCATAACCCTACCTATCCTACCTATCGATAACCAGCTGCAAAGTATAGTACAGGGAGGTTTACTTTTATTACGCCATATAAAGTGACAATAGAGTGTAAACGAGACATGCATATTTCACGTATCAGTTGGTCCAGACAGAAGCTATCTATGGCAGTGTAAAACCGGTGAGATGTAAATCGTCAGTGGGTGTCTGGCCAACCAGGGGTGATTTGGCGTTTTACCAAACCTCGACATTGCATTTAGGCCTGCACACTGCACATGTATAACAGCATATAGGCCTGCCCAGTCTGTCGTCGTTAACATTGCTTTTGTTTTCTTTGAATCGTTATTAGAAAATAGGATTTAAAATATACTACGGGAATTTCGATGCCAATGTCTGAAAGTCTGCAGCATGGATTTTAATAATAAAAATAGAATTCTTTTTTATATCATTTGTAGAGTTATTGAGTATGTTTGGGTGAGTCGTTCCTAATATTTTCAATACGTTTAAGAGACCGGCAACGATATACTAAGCAGATTAACCAACCGTGAATCGCTGAAATATTGTAAATATTTTTGGTAAATTATTATGTTGCTGGAACCGTTAAATTTAAATAAAAACAAACATTAGAAAAATTACTGAATTTGCACAAACAGTCTTTGCCTTTATTGTGCACTTATCGCCCTATTCAGTTACGTTTTTCGAAAGTAATTTCAAATACTGGATTGAGCAAAATCACACGAAGCTTTTGAAATGTTTCCAGCAATGTAACTATTATTTCTTCGTTCTGACCTAATAATTGTACCAAGTAGTGTTGTATAGCCCATAAAATATTAAATAAATTTATACTTATTTGGCCTGAGCCTACGCAATTAATTGTTACTGTAAATCCTAGGAAAACTCATCAAATTAATGTTATATTGTTTGCAGTTGTATAAGTAATCAAATAATTAATGTCATAGTTTATTTGCACATTTTGGCCAGACAATTGAACATGAACACAAGAGTTAATTCAGTAATTACTCAAACTAAATAATAAGATTCTTATATACAAATCTGTTGAGTAAATGTGGAAGGCAGGGTAGGATTGAGTATTTAATTATTTTTGTCTATGGATATAAGTATTTTAATGTCATTATGTTAATTAGCAAAGAAAGATTTTAGTAGGCTTTCCCCAACATTCAATTATTAATTTATTTCAACATTAATATGAGTAATATTTTCAATCGAATTAATTAGTATTATATTGTTATTACAAGCCCGTCTTGAAACATTCCTTTGAAATGAAGCTGCACCTAAATAAAGTGCCACAAATACAATTTTCTTTTTTGTTCAAGGAAACTCCCATTTAAATATTTTTATATTTCAGTGTAAATAGATATCATAGCTCAAGTTCGGCGATAGCTTTTCAGTGTATCTTAAACGTTAAACTGATCATTCCATAATATCAGTTGTGATGTGGGAATGGATGAATACAGGTAAATGAATAAGTCACGATCTCAAGCTCAAGATCGTATTTCGCTTAATGTGAAAGAAAGGAATAGAATGTGTAATTTAGTCTGAGCGGAGCTGAGTTCATGCCCCTGCATAAGTAAATAGAACCCCTCGAGGCTTCGGATTGGAGGTGCTGCTGGCTTAGCCCGATTCTACTTATTAATACAAACCTACTCGCTATTCGAGCTGTGGTGGGGTTATATATATGTGATAGCAAGTTCTTGTTATCATTTGAAAATATGTACAAAATATGTATTTTGAATTTGAACTCGCTTGTCAAGTTGTTATCTGACGTTTAGCTATCGATCCCCTTTTCCTCTTTTCGGTCCTTTTAATTAGTCTCCTTTCCTAGCTTGTTTATATGAACAAGTGTTAAAACTATCAGTTGTTAATTATCTTTCACTTTATTGGTCGAACCTTTTATTTTAAAATAACAGATGATTTACTTAGTCAATGGTTACACATAATCTTAAAGGTGTTCTTCAATGAAAATTATAAAGGAAAACTAGTTGTCTTAATATTGTGTTTCAACATAAAATTACTTATAGAAAGTCTGTAAAAAGTAAACCGATATTAAAAGGTCAGCATTTTAATTTTAATGAAGTGTAAAACTTTTGAAATACAGCTAGTCTTATAAAAAAAATTTTAGGATAAGTAATGCGTTTTATTACCAATTTTTAAAATCTCAATATTCTACATGTAGTACACGTAGTAGCGAGGGAACTTCGATTACGCGTTTCCCAGGCCACGTGCAGAGATCAATCTATCTTAGTACATAAAGCCTTTGAAATAGATCATGTCGTAATAATCGTACCGTGAATAATAGAGACGAGCCAGCAGAGTAGAGGCCATAAATATTGGCCTACCGCAGGATGTGTGATTATGAGCCTATGGTGGCCAAACTA